TGGAGCTATATATATATATATATATATATATATATATATATATTTGGCTGTAAATTGCTAGTCTGTGGTTCTGGCATCAGATGATATATCAATTCCATAACAAAAAGGAATGAATGCATCCAGAGCCCCACAAATGATTATGCAGATAGAAAAACCAAGAAGTGCCATGACTTTTCTTTCTTGAAACAATAAGTGTCACAGCATACTTGTGTATTTTTAGAAAATCCAGCTCTCTTGGAGGTTATCCAGTGTTCCTCTAATGATTGCTAATGTGGAGTTCATGGGGCACAACGTGTTCACTTTTCCAGCTCTCATAGATTGAAAGCTGCTAGTTTAATGCAGGTAAGGAGCAAAAGTGATAGTCACGAGGTTTGTTTTCTCCCCACTTGACTTTCGTGGCTTTAGCTGTCAAAACCTGCCACCCCATGCTGTCTGTTTGACGATGGCATACAATTTCCTTTACATTTTGCAACAGAGCTGAGAGTAGCACTTTTGTGGCCGAGGGTACAGGGTCTAAAGTAGTTCCTCGGTATTACCCTAGTGCATTGGAGCCCTCAAATGCGGCCTCAGGCTTTAACGACCATGAGTAGTTCCTTTCCAACAGCTATTAAAGATGTCCGCTGCAACCACCTGCCAGTCAGCACCGATGTCGGGATTTCCAGCAGTCCAACAGATACAAGGACAAGAACTGTCCGCTCGCATGGCAGTACAGGGTCCCTCACGTTGGGCATAACCCCTCCCCATTCAGCGCTCTCCAGTGTTGTGTTGGAGAGCATTTCCTCTGTGACTCTCTCTCCGCCCTAGGTAGATATCTTCATTTCCCATGAATGCCAATCTGGCAGCTTTCCCCCGTTTATTACATAATGCTTTTATTTCTTCTTTTTTTTTTTCAGTGAAGCACAACAGTTTAACTCTCTGGTTACCGTGGCTACAGTAGAAGTTTTGTGAGGTCAGCAGCTACTGTAGTGAAGGCATAGGCAACCACAAACTACTAAGGACAAGGGAATTTATGGCGAGAAATAGGGACCAACCTCTACGTTATTATTCAAAACTTAAGTTGAACCAGACTCAGTGAGATTGAGGAAAAAAATGCGGTTTGTTCTTTAAGTTGTTCTGATATTTGAGCACTTTTGTGGTTTTAACCAGCTGCGAGATCCAAGATAATCAACCAACTATTTTAGCCTGTTCTGCTGGTTCTACTTGGCTAGGAAATCTACTGAGAAAGAAGTCAATTGTACAAGCGAATAAGCAGCCACATTTTTGGATAAGTGTTCCAGCTGAACTCCCAAGCTTTTCAGGGTTTGCCTGTCTCCACAGAAGTTTATGGGAACTGCTACCCTTTTGGCTTTTTTTTAAGCCTACATGCAGGCTCTGCTGAATATACCTTCTTTTGCAGTCCATGCCTGAATAAAGGCTTCTGGATCTGACCTTGCTCAAGTCACTTGCAGGTCTGTTAGAACAGGTGCTCAAGAAAGGTCAGAGAAAATCCTGTATGGGGAAAAAAAGCAATTCTTTGCATTAGTTAAAAAACACATTCAAAGGAGACAACTCAGAGTACTATTCTCTTGCTTTGCTACACTAGGTGCTTCTTTATTTAGTGGTGATGAGATGAGTGAGGTCTTTAATCAGGCACACCCGAAGCGTAGACCAGAATCAGATTTCAAAGTTATCTCCTACTGCCAAAGCAAGTGCTCCTGAGATATCAGAGAAGGTTTGGTCAGAGACCTAAGTTACACTTGATGTTGAAAAGGAGAAAATGCCTTTCATCACACTGTGCAGTATTGTTATTCCTATCACTTATACAGTGATGGGGGCAAATCCAAGGGAGTGTGGTGCATGGGTGCCTTTGATTCCTACTCCACTGAAAGTTAAAAGCCACCTGCCTCGCAGTGGCAGCAGCATTTCTACTCAGGCAGGGCTCAGGGAGTCACCTGACTTCATTGCTCAGTATAATCTACCTAATCCCTTCTAAACTCCTCATTCCATGGTGTTAATGAACCCCCCCCCTTTTAATGGTCTTGATGCTATACTAATTAAGCTAGCCTTTCTTCTACTGTTCTGCTGTTTGTTAGCTGCTCCTGGTGAAGAAGCACCTATTTCACAGTCTTCCAGATTTGTTTTTTTAACTCATTCCATTGATGTTATATTTATTTTTGCTCGTTAAACTGAAGAATATAGCCCTAGGCCCTAGCACATCGGTAAAGCTTCCAGTTTATTTTAAATTATTTTTATAGTTAAATATGTGGGGGGTTTTGTATGTAATGGTACACCTTACCACCTGCACCCCCTCCTTTCAAAACTCTAAATCCACCCATGTACAGTGAAGTACTTGGCAAGCTTTAAGTATTCCTTATGTCTCCTGTGGGAAACAACCCTTGGGAAACTGAAATGGAGGAAGTGATCTGCTCAGAACTTCAGAGGAAAGCAGTGCCACAACCAGAATTAAAACCTGGTTTCTGTTCTACTACCCCTCTGTTTGTCCTTTCAAGAGTAAATGCACTGCTTCATGTTGCAAGACGTTCCCAGCAGAGCCTCTCAACCTAAAACCACAGATTGGCACCTAACACCAAGCTTGTTTGGTAATAACTTTTTCATTGAGCCAACTATATAGTTGGAACATGTTTTAGACAAAATGCCCCCCTGAGATACCTACCCAGTTTCTACATTAGTGCTTCCCAAACTTCCTCAGCATGGCCCCTCACTCCCAACCCACAGCCCCCTGCCTATCCCAGCAGCACCCAAGCCCCAGCTGCCACCCATAGAAGGCAGAGGCTGCTGCACCCAGAGCCTGGCTTCCTCCCTCGCCCACGGGCAGTGCTTCCGAAGCAGAGCCCATGGGCGGGAGAGGATGTGGGCTGCCTGCTGCAGGCCTGGGGCTTCCCATCCTGCTGCCCTCTTCCTGGGGAGCTCCTTGACCCAGTGGGCAGGACCCGGTGTGGGAGGGAGGGAGCACTGCACCACCATGGCTGCCAAGCTGAGATGTCCCCTGCTTACCTGGCAGCAGGTTGGGCACAACTCAGCACTGCCACAGCTGCCGTGCCTCACTTTGGTGGCCATGGTGGTGCAGCACTCCCTCCTACAATGGGTCCCACCCGCTGGACCACAGAGATGGCTCCTGCCCAGAGATGGTCCAGCTTGGCTGCGGCCCTGCACCCCACTGTGGGTGCAGAAATCTCAGGGGGCACATTTATCACAACACCATCCGCTAATGTTGTGAGCCCATGTGGGGTCTCAACCCACAGTTTGGGAACTTCTGTTCTACATGCTCTTTAAGGTGACTCAGTATTTTGTTGCCATCAAGTCAGAGTGGGTGAAAAGATTTATTAGTAGGGACCTACCGAATTCACAATTGTGCAATTTTTGCAGAAACCGTGAATTTGTATGGGCTCTGTGAAAAATGACAGGCTCCGCAATTTTGGCTGGTTCACAGCAAAAAGGAAAAAAAATTAAAAACGTAGTGACCAGCAGAGAGTTTTGTAGCACAGGAGGGAAGGGGTAGAGAGGAGGAG